AATAGCTCCCCTCTCTTGCTCCCTTCCAACATACTTTGGCTTTTTTACCAGAATGCCCACCTTGGAAGTCAGTGCTGCTCTTTTTTCCTCTCCGACTGTGAATATTTTCACATCAGACAGAAGATAACAACCTTCGGACATACGCCAAGAGCTAGGCTGTGATACAGTTCGTCAAGCCAGGCACAGAACCACCAGCACTGACAATCTAGTACCTCCACACTCCCCACCCAATAAGAAAACGAGCATATCGACACACAGACAAACTTCAACACCGCTTTCCAAATGCCATTAGAAAGACAAAAACGTCAAGAATCAAGCTGAACTGTCCAACCACCACAATGAGCAAAGAGACAGCATCACCTGGTTAGCAGAGCAGCAGTTTCAGCTCCAAATATCCTGGCTTTACTCATTTCCATCTATGTAAAGAAAGATTAGTGTTAAAACAAAGAAGTGCCCACTTCACAGCACAAAGCAGAGATCACCCCAGCTAATTACAAAACAGGTAAGATTAAAAAGCACTAGGTCTTGTATTCTCTTGCCAATTACTTCCTCACTAGGCTAGACAGTCCTCATCTAGCAGCAGTCTGTGGAGTCAAAATATGAATTCAGGCCAAGTCTGGCCCAGACCGTGCCAGTCTTCCTGACCCATCATGGATGCTCCCTAGAAATCTGTTAAAAACTCATTTACAAAAGTAGGCACAGATGTTCTATAGTTGCTACTGAAACACCCTACACACCACTTTCTGTGTTAAAGAATTAATAAAGAGTGTACTGAGGTAAAGAGTTGGCAGTGCTACACTAAAACCCCTGACTATACCATGTGATTTTATACGGGAAAAATGATAAGAGGCTACTTCTAAACTTACAGGCATCAATACAGTTCTCATCACGAGAGATCAGTGCTTGGCTTACACGACAAGCTGCACTGTATGGAGGTGTTATTGCATATAGTGTTTGTGTCTCAAGCTGGCATGCATCAAGTTGTCTATCAACCCAAAATGTACTCCTGAAAATCTGATGACACAAGCAAGGCAAAGTCAGGTGTCAAAACTCATTGCTTGAAAACCAGAGGGACCTTTTACAGAAATCTTGTAGTTCCATGCAGCAGAATTATATTCTTCCAGGAGAACTAGAGGTACATACGTAGAAAAGACTCCAAAACATGAATAGCCACAAAGACAGCCATCTAAAGGTAGCAAAGGGCTTGTTTGCCAAAATGATATTCTGTGGAAGGTAGTTGTCTGTCACTAAAGAAAGCTGCTAGTTTCTTCAGTGGTTCCATGTCTGTTCTTTTAATTTCTTTAATTCTACAGTTCTTTGCAGATTACAGTAACCAGGACTGGTGAATACCCAGGGGGGATGGGGACAGCAGGATAGGGGGACAACACATGGACAGGCTGGAACACACTTTTCAAATGCACCATTTTTCATGCCAAAAACTACTTTAGCTATCCTAGTAGAATTACATTTTTCCCTGCAGTGCCACATACAGATGAGCCCTTCCTACTCCATTTCACTACAGTTTTTTTGCCGTTACTTTCTCTACTCTTCTTGGCTGAGGTTCAGGCTTTAGTTGGCTCAGAAAGCCTATAAACAGTCATCTTCAGCAGCTTTTTCATGCTTGTAACTGCCTAGTTTTAGGTTTTACATAGCAGTATTTAAAAAAAACACTGAATATATTATCAAGTTAATACGTCAAATAATCTATGCTGCCATGTTAAATAAAATAAGATCAATTCTTTGTATAAAACTGGAAGCATCTTTCAGTTGTAGTGTAAAGTTGAGTGGCCAGTAATTTCCATTCCATAATCAATATTAATTCGGTTTCAACATTAAGAATTATTTAATTCCTTCAAAGTGACAACTGCCTATTAAATATATCACTTACAGAAAACTGTTCTTCCTTTTTAATTCCAATTCACCATGTCACTGTGTAATGCCATCTAAGAACTGTTCGGAGAATGACAGCACTGCAATCCAAAGGAATGGTACTGATTGACATGCTGTATTAGCTTAAAGTCTGTTTTGAGGGCAACAAATTCAAAGTAGTGTTTGATAAATGACTGCCATTTAGGTAGTTTTTCTACTTAAGCTGCAAGATTACGTCAGTCTCTCCTGCAGGCACATACTTCAAGCACTTCCTCTCTTTGTCCTTCCGAGAGACAGCCCACAACCCCTTTGCAGACCCCACCGCTGGTCACTGACCTGCGGCTGTCAGAGGAGGGACAGCGAGAGGCTGGATTTTTCTTTTTTTTAGCGTAGTTTTTCAAGGTCTCCATCTGATTATCATCCTGCCTGTGACCCATTTCCTGACTCGCCAAATGAACAATACCCCTATAAAATTAACAAAAAAATATGTTCTCTCCAGCTGTGTTTACCTGCAAAATTCTCCAGGATGTCAAAATAAAGTTTTCTATTTGTTTCTTGTGAAAGGACTAAGCAACCGACCAAGCCCGTCCTGAGATGTTTGTACAACCTAACCTACCTAAGTTCTGCTTTAGTAACTAACTGTTTTACCATACTGTGATTCTCTGGCTTTATCATACTACAGAGCTTACCTTGAAAAAAACCCACACACAAACCCCTTCAGTTGTGGCAAGAAGTGGAGTGTATTTTGCAGAGAAAGCTCCCACTTCAAAAAAAAGTCCTTTTTACTCACGGGCCAGATCCTCTGCGAACTTGAGAAGTGCTTGACTTTTGCAAGCAGCGTTTCCTGATCTTGGGTTCCTGGTGTGAACCATCACTATCAAAGTTTGACAGAACACAGAGCCTACAGAGTCCAACTACTGATTTTCATCCACAGTCTACAGCATCACGCTTAGGCCCATGTCATCAATAAAAATCAGAAAGGCAATAATTGGTCTGAGGTGATCAAACCAGTTTCCTAAAACTCTGACTTAGTGTGCAAAACTGCCATAGCATACAAAAAAAAAAAAACAACCACACCATGCTGAAGAGCTCAATATGAGATATCTCATGCTGCTTCTTTTCCAGGTGTAGATTAAATTACTTAATATATTAAGTTGCATTATTAGCTCTGTTCAGAGTTTTAAATCCATAATGTGACTAAGGATAGGAAACCATGGATGAGCATGAAGAGAAAAACAGAACAGGAAATTCCATGCTATGCCTCCCAGGTAAAACTACAGTAGACTCAGACATAAAACTGAGGTAATTCTTGAGAAGAAAATACAGTTGAAAAGGAATGTTTAACTTATTTGAGATAACAAGCATAGTATCAACCCATCTAGAAAATTTAGTGAAAGAATAAAGCTCACAGCAAACTAGAAAATGAAGTCAAGTCAACCTAGAAGTCAGGTCAGCCCACAACTGCCTCCTCTTTCCCAGTGTCTTGTGTGAAGTGGAAACCACTACCAAGAACTCCACAAATATCTGAAGGCTTTGAAAACAGTCTTAGTCTTCAGACAAACAAACGGGCTAGGTTAGAGAAACCAACCTGATACGATGAGTAAACTTGTTCGCATCACTGTGTTGAAACATTTACCTTTTCAAATGTAATAATCTTTAGTGTTTCCCCCCATCTGAATATTAGAGTCACGTAACATTTTTCCCCTTCAAGGTTAAAAATGAATAAGTATTTAAGATAGAGTTGGTCCTGGCAAAAATAAGACTTGTTACAAGGAAGCTAATTCCTGTTTAACTGTGCTCAAATTTCAGTTAGATTTCGCCATCTGCAGCTTTTCAGTTGTTCTTACCTCGATACCGTGCGCGTTACATAGCACCGAAATAGCCGCATCTTTTCCACTCTGAAGCCTGCACAAAGAAAGCCAAGAGACTGCCACATTAGGAAACTACATAAATACCAATATGAACATCTGCAAGCTTCAGAGGGGAAGCAAGATTCCAGATTTTATCCAAATTAACATGAAAGGATAACGGAACAGGACTTTTTTTTTGACCACATTTCCCGTGGGACTACCAGCCGAAGTAGAATGTTGCTTGTTTTGACATGCCATTACAGGCTCAAAGGGGATAAGAACTCCAGGGAATCTGCTGACTTTTAACGGGTACAAACAGCCCTTCAGGTTTTATTCTTGGATAAAAACTATGACAAAAATTGCACAGTAAACTATGTTTCAAAGTTACCTAAAGGACAGCACTACAATGTTGATATAAAAGGCAGATCTTCAGTTAGTCCATGTACCCCACTGTAGTAGAAAAAAATCCGATGTGTCTGTACACAAAAAAGGCACCCGGCAGTTAGTTACACAGATTGAAAGCTAGGAAATTAACAGTTCTTATCAACATTATTCATAGCCTCTTGCAGTTTTACACTCCAACCGTTGCCCAAAATGGGCAACTCCCAACTTGACTGTACTCAGAATTACATGCACATTACTATAGGCTAAAGATCCCATCAAGACAGAGATTAAAGGCTAATTTTACAGCCAGGTCTCGCTGTCCAAGTACATCAGTGCAGATGTAGAACTGGGATCTCTAAGGTGTTCAGCCTTCCTATACGGTCAGCTGTTGGGAACTAATCAAGCAGCTGCTGTACTACCAAAACCTTTGCTTAAGGGTTTAATCAGCTTTCAAACTTTTGAATATAGATAAAGCCCTGTCACACGAGGTACTGAACCTTCATAAACACTGCCAACTGCAGGGGTGAGAACAGCGCTGAATTTCCATGAAGTGCATCTCACTTGAGCACCCACTGTGCAGATACACAGTCAGGTCCTCTGGCACAGGCTGCTTCACCAAGGAAATCAGTTTTCCCATGATGTTACCCTTCACACATAGTGCAAAATCAACCCTTCTCCGTATCACCAAGGCCTTAACTTCCCATCAAATTTACTCCAACACGGGTTGTCTTATACAGTTTTAGACTTTTGCCTCAGGAGACTCACGCAAAACCTTCAGACAAAAGCTGTGCTTCCGCCTTGATACGTGGACTCCAGACCCCTGGCAAAGTTGAACACGCACACAAGATCTGGTTATATTCCTCAGGGTTAAGAACGGAACTTCCATTAACATTCTCCAATACAGCTGCCAATCTCACTACATTTCGATTAGTTTGATCGATTCAGCACCTCCAAACTACAAGAAAAGGCAGTTTGTACGACAAGTGTCTCTGAAAAATGAGCATATTCATTTAAAACAATGCGTCTTCCACACATGGTTTTTCAGAGATTTCTTTTTTGTAAGAAGGCAGAAGGTGGTTGTGTTATTATTCAGCATTCCAAACTAGGTACAGAACCTACAACGCCCATATTTCAGTAGTGTTTCTAATCCAAATGATTCAGTAGCTAACATCAACGTTTGACTCCTTCGGCCTATAGCTCCTCTGTTTGGACTGGCTAGTTACAGCATTCCTGAGCCAAGTAATTAGCATGGGTCCCACACCACATGCAAGGGCCATAAAGAAAGGATAAAAACTTTGATCGAACCCTCCGGCAAATTTTAACAGAACATCGGCTGCTCTCCTTCACTGCAACATAATATCCTTCAGATTCTCTTGAAGGATTGTGTCCTTCACGGCATGAAATACAAAGCGGATGTTTTCAGTGTCTATGGCAGTTGCACCAGATAACGTTGAACGTCTTCTAGCCTGTGAGGGTCGCCTTTGAAGTCCGAGAAATACTTCTTAATGCTCACAGTCTTTACCTTCTCCACAAGAAGATCCATCTTGTTGAGGAACAGGATAATAGAAACATTAAAGAAAAGCTTGTTATTGACTATTGTCTCAAAGATATTCATGGACTCCACAAGTCTATTTGTGCGCCTGTCTTCCATGAGAACCTGATCGTACTCACTGGAGGAGACCATAAACAAAATTGAAGTTATTCCATCAAAGCACTGGAACCACTTTTGACGCTGAGATCTCTGTCCACCTACATCCACCATCTTGAAAGGTATTTTTTTAATGATGAAATCATGCTCTACTATCCCCTTGGTGGCTTTTCTAGCCAACAAAATATCTTGTTTGCTGGGGAAATAATTCTGTAAAAGAAAGGAGAAAAGTGTCAAAAAAGTCCTTCAAAAAGGCTGGCTAATGGCAGAATATTGAAGTGATATGAAAAAAAAAAAATCAACAAGAGCTGTAATTTTTTTAATTATCAAGTGCAGAACAAATACTCAACTTTAAAATAACGAACTGTTGACCATTTATCTCAACACATTGGTAAACAGCTACAGAAGATCCTGAGACATATGAGAAAAAGATATAGGACTAATGCACTGGTTCACATTTTTATCCTTCAAGCGTCTCATTTTTAGGCTGAAGTCTATTTTTTCATGATGAAGTTCTTAGCGACAGTGTTATTGGCATTCAGGTAGTGTTCAGTAAAGCAGATCAAGTAATCACTGAAAGGACTTTTTTGTTGTTTTGTTTTTTTGTTGTTGTTTTTTTTTTTTTTAATCTAGCTTTTCACAGTTCATTACTCTTACAAAGGACATCTTGCAAGTTTTAGTGGAAATATTTCTTCCAGTTTCATGCTCCATGACCAGTGAGTACAGCAACATGTTCTACCACAGGTTGAGGCCCAACCCACCACTGTAGAAAGATTTGTTCTTCAGAAGTTTATCACTCTTACAATTTAGGAAAATCATCTCCCTTCTTTCTCCTCAAAGTCTCCTGACAGATATTTCCATTACACTTTTTGAATCCTAAGAGTGCTAGTAATTTTTATTTCATAAGGTTTAACTCTGCTACCTTAAGTAGCACCAGCTATCCGATCATCATGAAAAATGAATGAGATCCAGAGACTGCGTAAAAGGACTTACAAAAGAAAATATGTGCATAAATACAACTTCCATAAACAATATTTGTTGTCTGTCAAAAACGATTAAGCAAATACTAAGCTTCAGTTTCACAAGGCTGGAGTTCACTATTTCTAGAGAAAGAACATTGAAGTTACTGAATGCATTATTATTTAAAAAAACCCAAACCAAACCAGAACCCAAGAAACATTAATCACAGTACACCCAGGCTTCCATTCTCTCTTTGAGCTCTCTGGGTTCAGAAATAGAAGGTACATCTTACCAGCTGACCGATCCGATCCAGGTTATCCAGGAAGTATTTCACCGATTCACCCTGTGGAAAAGCAAAGAGACAGGAACTGAGCTTGTTTCTAGGATAGCAACTTATATACCGTTATATATTAACAACTATAGCCTTTTCACTTTCCAGCATGCGCTGAGGTCTGACAGAGCAATATCACAAGTGCAAGCTTAGACAGCATTCTGATATGCTTCAGGAGCTGGAACAACAGAACTACTACATGGCTTAACTCACACGAGCTGCTGATAATGAAGCGGAGCTGCCATAATATACTACGGATGTGTAGGTAAGGCAGTATTTCTCCTACAAGCAATTTTCTGTTCGTTCTAGAAAAATCAAAGTTGAGCAGGAATCTGAATAAATGCTCAAATCTATCTAGTAAATATTCACAATGAAAAGGGACTGGTAAAATTAGTCCTTTGGCTTGAAGTATTAGGTTTTTTCCTCCTTGTACGATGAATGCAGTTAACTGACACTGTGTGGGAGTGAAAATGAAACTCATTTATAAGAAACCAATGTATTTTATTTAAAATTCATAACAGTGAACAAAAGCATACCCTAGACTCGTTGGCATATCTTTAGAAAAACAAAAGACTTCAGTCACCCACAATTTGTGATAATTTAAGATAGACTTGCTTGTCAAAAAAAAAAAAAAAGGAACATTAACATTCTCAAGGACTTTCTCGTCTACAGATAGTTTCCACTCTTAGGCTCGAGAGTGTTAATAATGGATTTGCTCATCTTGCACAAAATCCTTTAGCAGTTATATTGAGAAGAATATAGGCAATGTTTACAAAGAAAATTTAATCTGCCTTTTTTTTGGGGGGTGGGGTGTGTTTGTTTTTTTTTTTTGTGTGTTTTATTTTTTCTTTTAAACAAGTTTGCCCATGTATCAAACTCAAATCAAGTGCCACTTTGCATTAGTGGACACAAGAAGCCCTGCACATACTTTTTGGAGGTAATAACATTGTTTCCATATAGACTCAGACTTTAATTCTGGAATGAAACCGTCTTTGGCAAAAGCCCGTTCTCCCTCAAACACTTCCCTTTCATTTCTTCAGATGAAGATGATCTGTTTAGCAAGAAAGTATTCTTCGCTGTTTAGGATGTGTCTTGCAGTTGCAGCCATGTCATAAGAACGATAATATGGAAAATCCTGTGGCCTTTTAGTAATTTCAGGCAGCAAAACACATTACACGTACCGCAGATCAGAGCCATGTCAGTAAACCATGACAGCAGGTGCCCTCACCAAGTTACTAACTCAGAATGAGAACATTCTCAAAATATCATCTTGGATTCCAACAGCAATATAAATTCTGAAACCATACATTCTCCTCTATACCACAGGCTTGAGAGAGCACAACAGAATTATTCCCCTCCAGTACAACTGTAAACAGATGCCAGCACAACCGATCATTTTGCAGAATCAGACTGGAGATCAGAGGGTTCGGTGTCCTGTACAAGCGCACGCTTTCAGCACAAGGCACAGACAAAAAGGAGCTGCAGCTCATTTCCTTACATTTAAAACTAGAAGTGTCTTTTTCATCAAGGAGAGAGAACACACCTATTTGCAAAAAACCACCATGTATGACAAAAGATCTACAGTGGATCGCTAGCAAAAAAAAATTACTGCGGGGAAAATGTTTCCAAAGAACAATTGCTCTAAGAGCTTCCTTACAATCATGAATTTTCATAAGGTGAAAGTAATTTCCTGTATTTTTTGGCACTCCGTTGGATCAGCAGAGATATCACAGACTGCATGAATAAGAGAAAAGGTCTTCCTGTACAGCATTAGTCATATTTAGGAGACGGGAGAGCCCAAAAAGAAAAAGGTCATTGAAGCTACAAAAACCCCTTCTTTATCTGTTGTGCTTTGTGCTACACGGTGCCTTTAGATGTGCACCAAGGCTGCAAACGGGCCGTCTCCGACACAGCTTGTCCCCATTTTGTACCCAGCTGCTTTAAGAGTCCTTGCCTTGTCCGTACACCCTCCCACGCTGAGCGCAGGAAGCAGCTGTGTGCATGTGAACTGCCGGGACACCCCAGCAAGTTCACCTGATTTACGGCTTCTGCCTCCCCTCTTTCCTGCCCCGCACATCCATCAGGTTAATGTTTTGCACATATATAAGAAGGTAAGAAAATAACCTAATTAAAAAAAAAAACAATACACGTTCATTTCTGCAGTGATTTAGGGAAACTGGACTGCTCTAGTTTGTTATACATCGCTGTAGCATTGCCATTAAGCCACGTAATTCATTCCGGGAAGTTTTCAGCAGTAATTGCAAAACACTTGGATAGCTGGGTAACCAAGTCAGGTTGCTGGAACAGGTGCAAACACCCTGCACGCGGTCTGACAGATCTGAAGACATCTGAATAGTCTCTTCTAGCACAGAATTCAAAGACATCCAGTACTTAAGTCAAAATATCTGTTTCCAGTCAAAACAACAAATCCCTGAGAAGCTCCAGAGGGTTTGAAGTTAAGACAAGCTCCAAACATTAAAGCACACAAACCTGAAGGGAGGGAAAACGAAAAAAGACAACCCACAGCAAACCCTACCAAGCCCCACACTCCGACCCCCCTACTTTAAAGCTGATTCCCTGTTTAAGTCCTGTGATTCAGTTCCTGCTCCAAAGACTTCTTGAGTAACCTTGCTCTACATTTTAGTCTGATTCACAGAAAACGCGGTGGCTTCTGGGAAGCGTGCCGGGAATTTCAGTTCAGGGAGCAGGCAGCACAGCACAACTGCGGGCGGCACCAGCTGACTTGATGAATAACACGTAATGTATTTAAATGAGAAAAATATGGAAAGTCCAGGTGTTAGGACTGATTTGCATTAGTACTCTTAAGCAGAATAACTGTATTAACTGAACATTTCTTCATCTTTTAATTTTTTCCTTGTCATCCAGGGAGAATAGATAGCAATGTTAATTAGATCTAGAAGTCAAATTTATTTAGCTTTATCTCAAGCTGCACTTGAATACAATTCTGAATTCCATTGATAAATTATTATTTATGCAACGCTATCTGGGTATTATACACACATACAAACATGCGTGTGTATCTGTGTGTATGCGTATAAGAAATACACACACACAAAGAGTTTATGAATTGTCCATCACGGCAGGTTTTCCATTCAAGGCAAATTATTATCAAAATAAAGAAGTATCAGCTGCTCCTCTCATGTTAAACTACTTTCTTCTCTTGAAGACACTGACCATAAAAAAGTTGGTTTGTTTTTTTCAGTGTAAATTCTTAGTGTTTCTCCAAAGCCATCTAGCCATTCAACTACATCCAAAAATATTCGCAATTGATTCATCAGATACTAAAAGTATCTTTACACAGATTAATGACTTCAATCGCAGTATTTTAATGGTTCTAGTGAAAAAAAATATTTTGAACATAGCAGCAAGGAAGCAGCAAAATAGAAATGAAAGCCATTAAAGTTATTTGTACTATATTTATGTACCTAAAGATAATCACATCATGGTGTGTTCACTTAAAAAACAAACAAAAGAGGTCCAGTTCAGATGTGTCAATCTTTTACAGGCTGGCGTGTCAAGAAAAGCTGTGTCAGCTCAAGCAACTTCCTCAGTCAACTACATTCATAGAAGACTGCTGAGCTTCTGTCTTTTCAGATTTAAAGACTCAGATCTTCTTGAATTTCCTTGTTAGTACACTATTTGCTTTTAAAAAATATTCTAACAATATTCATAAACAATATTCTTAAAATCTGAAAGACATTATTTCATTTGAACCGTCACAGTACTTAAATAGAAGGCACCATTCTGTCAGTCACAGCAAAGGATGTCAGTGAAGCACGCCTGTACTGATTTTTTTGTTGTTATTTTTAACTAAGTGTCTATGAGTATATTTCACATTTGAAAGTTGTATCAACAAAGCCTGAGATGACCATTGTCTATTTTGCTGTTGACACAAACCAGCTAGCTGCCTTTTTTTTTTCTTCTCATCCTCCTTGATAATAAACCAAGATGTCAAGATGCTGTCTTCCATCCACGCCCTGTGCTTTCCGGGATGGGACGGGGAGGGGAAACGAGTGACCACTCAGTTATGAATTTTACATAATTCAGATACTCCTTTTTAGTACACCAGAGCACAGTGTAGACCATTAGTCTTCCTTAACTTCTCGCTCACCACACAAGAGTTACCACAAACGCTCGGATGATTCATTCTCTCACTGCTAATCTCTTCTCCCTCTGCAATACACGTCCTCTGAGTAACAGTTCTGCCAACTGGGACCACGCGAGGGAAGGAAAGAGAAGGCCTAAAATGAGCCCACAAGCTCCATAATGCAGCATTGCGATTGGATCATTTCTTAAAAAAAATAATTTTTTTACACTGCCCTATCTGCAATACAAAGTTTGGTGAAGCCAGAGAAAAATAGTACAATTTGCTTAAAAACCGACTGTTGGAGGAAAAAGGGAGGAAAGGTAAAATGCAAACATATACTCTTGCTTCCTGAAATAGTGCTCTAAAACTCTTCTTTTATATGCTAGGTTATTTTGAACACAGCATTCTCAAGAGGCAAAACCCACAAAATTAAGGAGTTCTTATTCTATGTATTTCATGCTATATGAATGTCATCTTAACATTAGCTCCAAATAAGTCACCATGAAAACAAGTAATTGAATTTAACATCTCTGTCCCCTCAGGCTAGGTTCATAGCACATAAGAAAATCTCCCCACAGAAATATTGTAACTAATCTAGCATCACTCCCTTTGCCATTGATCGCCTCATTGCAAAAAGCAAGCAGAATACACTTGGGCAGAGATCCCAATCAGTATTCATTTCATGAAAATAAACGCACAGCAGATCGCATGTAGATTGCTTTAGAATACCTGCAGACACTCAGTAATGAGAAATGTTCTGCAAGGCTAGAGTTACCAACATGTCACTTTAACCCTCGGCCAGTTCTTCAAAGTGACATTTGGTCAGATCATAAGTGATAGTGAAATGTCCTGTTATCCAGTTCCCTAAAATACAGGGTCATTTCAAACTTCTCCTTCTGAAAAG